TTTTAATCTATTCATAAAGGGCTTTTGAACCGCTCTTAGTCTGACCCATCACCCAGGACCTGTTTGCCTTGGGAGACCCTACCAGGGGCATATAGCCCCCGACAACATAGCTACTAGGATCACTCGGGTACTCAAACCCCTCCACCACAATAAGGTAGCGGTTCAAGGAGGGGATTTACCTAAACCTTTACAATAAAATTGCCATAATCCTGCCACAATGCTAGGAGCTAAGACAAAATATAATCTTATATCACAAAAAGAAGGCTCTGCACACTGTAACTCAAATTCTGTGAAATGAATTCACAAAATAAAGTGGCACACTTTCTTGAAGAGAGATGCTACTGTTTTTGTATTATTTTAACTGTCAGTCTCATTGCTAGTTAGAGGTTAGTGTCTTGCTTAAGAATATTTTGGCAGACCAAGATGCAGCAAGGGAATGATTTATATAAACTACAGTCTCCCAACCAAATCCTTGTGACAGCTACTCACCTTTTCTTCCAGTGCTCCTCCTAATGTTTACAACCATAAAGAATTATTGAGGAACAATGTATTTCCTGGTAGTAAATGGGAGTAGTGCTATATGCTGTCTAATTTGGATGTTTTTGTCAAGATACATAGACTATTCACTTGGAGTTGTTGCAGTTGTACTTGTTTTTTTTTTTTATATGGGTGATGGCATAGCTGAATGAACAGAGGAAACACCAAGCTTAGTTTGTTCCCTTTGATAAACAGGATGTTACTGTTCCCCTTTCAGATCCATGAGACTATTGAATCCATCAACCAGCTGAAGATCCAGAGGGACTTCATGCTCAGTTTCTCCAGAGATCCCAAAGGCTACATCCAGGACTGGCTCAAATCCCAGAGTCGAGACCTTAAGGTTCAGAAATATTTACACTCAGATGTGCACACACTGATGTCAGTCCTTTCATAACTTAAAGTTCCACCGAAACATCACCTATAGCTGCCTTTATATGACATGTACTCTGAATGTTGTGGTTGCCTTTTTTACCATTTTATTCCCATAACAATGCATTAAAAAAAATCTTCACTAAAACTCAGAACCTTGGTATGGACCAAAGTGTTACAAACAAACATTGCCATTAGTTTCGGCCACCAGTGGAGCAAAATTAATAGGTTTGAAATACTGACTGCTGCAAATTATATTGTGTTCATTTAGAAAAAAAAAACCTTGTGTAAAAAACATTTGCCAGTATTTTGTTTCTAAAGTCGTTGTTTGTCACATATTTTGTTCTATCATTAATGATTGTGACTTCTCATTGGGTATAGTTAATGACAGATGTGGTGGGGAACCCTGAAGAGGAGAGAAGGGCTGCGTTTTACCATGAGCCCTGGTCCCAGGAGGCTGTCAGTCGCTACTTCTACTGCAAGGTGAGAAAACAGCACTTCACCATCTTTTGCCCTTACACTAAAACATCCTGTAACTCTGTCTCTAGATGCTCAGGTGTTGTATACATGGTTTTCCTTCTCCTTTTTCACAACAGATCCAGCAGAGGCGGCAGGAGCTGGAACAGGCCTTAGCTGTCCGTAACACCTAAACCAAGGCCCTCCTGAATCCCTGTTTTCTGAGTCATGTATGTGTTTGGATGTGTGTGAGCTCATCACTGTCATCTGGTCAAACCATATACCTCTAAAAATTCATCCATCCATCCATTTTCTGCTGCCTATCAGGAGTCAGGTTATAGTGGCAGCAGGTTCAGTAAGGTAGTTCAGACATCCCTCTCCCCAGCAACATTTTCCAGATCCTAGGGGACCCCAAGGTGTTCCCAGGCTAGGTGAGATATATAGTCTCTCTAGCATATTCTTAGTCTACCCTGGGGTCTCCTGCCTATTAGACATGCCCGGAAAACCTCCACTGCAAGGTGGTCTGGTACAACGCCCGCATTATGGCTGACACTGCACAAATCCACCAGTCAATCTCATGCTCCATTTTACAGCAGCAACTCACTCAAACTCAAAGGAAGCAATCTACCAATATCTGGCAGAGAACCATGGCCTCAGTACTGGAGGTGCTGACTCTCCTCCCAGCAGCTTTACACTCCTCTACAATCCAACGCTGTGCATGATGAAGCCAACAGAACCACATCACTTGCAAAAAGCAGAGAAGGGATTCAGTCCTTAAACTGGACACACTCCTCCCCCCGGCTGCATCTTGAGACCCTGTCCATAAAAATCACACACAGGATCAGAGACAAGGGACAACCTTGGCAGAGGCTAACACCCACCAGAAACGTGTTTGACTTCTTGCAAAGAATACAGACACAACTCTCACTCCAGTTATATACGGACCAGAAGGCTTGTAACAAAAACCCCAGTATCCCATACTCCTGCAGTACCAAATCCAAGTCCATCAAACACATGTAGGCTGACTGCTCCATTAGACTTGCAAGGATAAAGAGTTGGTCCACTGTTCCATGGCCAGGATGGAGTCTGCATTGCTCCTTCTGAATCCGAGGTGTGACAATCAGTCTGAGCCTGCTTTCCAACTCCCTGTCATAAGGTTTTCTAAGGAGGCTGAGCAGTGATACCCCATTATTTGACACACACCCACTGATCCCCCTTTTTAAATATGGGGGCTGGTCTGCCAGTCCACATGCACTGTTCATGTCCCCCATGCCACATTGAAGAGACATGTCAGCCAAGACAACCAATAATGTCCAGAATCTTGAGCATCGTTGAGCATCTCAGGGCTAATCTCATCCACACCCGGCGCCTTGCCACTGAGGAGCTTCTCAACTACCTCAGAGACCTCTGCCAAAGATATGAGTGAGGCTTCCCTCGAGTCTTCCGACTCTGCCTCCTCCTCAGAGGGCATGTTAGTTGGGTTCAGGAGTTCCTCAAAAGTGTTCCTTCCACCGCCCGACATCCCCAGTCAGAATCAGCAGTTCTCCTCCCAGGATGAACACAGCCTGGGCCAAGCCCTGCAGATGGTTTGTAAGAACTCCCTTGCGGCCAACCGAAAGTCCTTCTCCGTAGCCTCTCCAGCCTCCTCCCACAATGGGGTTTTTGGTACCAAGTACACTTCTGAATCGCCCTATTTTCAAACTTGGTTTTTATTATGGCCAGTACATGACTTGCAAGTCATTCCTTCCAGTCACCCCCCTCAGGGTTACTCCATCATTGCCCATGTAAGCACTGAAGTCCCCCAAAAGAACTATGAAGTCCCAAGCTGGTGCCCTTTTCAGTACCCCAGGCCAGATATTCTGAAATGAACAGTCAGGGCCTTCCTCTGAGTGACTTGCAGTTGCAAGGAGTCAACCCTCTCATTTTCTAGGGAGAACTCCAACACAGTGATTCTCAGCTGAGGCCTTGTGAGTATCCCCACATCCAGGATTTGCATGCCTACATCCCCAGCTTTGCCTGCTCACCGGCTTGCATTGCACCTAGCTCTGATTCCTATCCCTACAGGTGGTGGGCCCACAGAGCAGCAACTCCATATCATTTCTTTGAGCTGTGCCCCTCCCTGGGGACCAGTTTGCCTTGGTAGACCCTACCGGGGGCTGTTACCTTGACAACACAGCTCTCAGAATCACCAGGGCTCACAAACCCCTCCACCATGTTAAAGAGGGAATACTCCGAGGGGTTTTGAAAACAGCAATAACAAGTTTAATTTAAAATGGACAGTGCAGACAAGGACATATTTTGTATTAATGTATTTTTATCAGTTATTTTAAAAAAGTAAAAAAAAAATAAAACATCAAATTTTTCATTGCCTCTAGTCTTCAAGAAGGCCAGATTCTCCAAACTGCTATTCAGCTCATAAGTGCAGAAAATAGTCAGAACCATCCTTCAATGGGCTTAAAACTGCAGAGAGGTGACCCTCTCATTCTCTGGGGAGAAATCCCAGCTGGGGGCTCACACCCTCCTGGTACCTCTCACCCCAGGCAGTCCAGCCCCTCTAAAAGGAGTTTGGTTCCAAATCCAGTGCTGTGCATGGAAGCAAGCCCAACTATATCTAGTTGGTATTGCCCCACCTCCCACACCAACTCTGGCTCCTTCTCCACCATAGAGGTGAGGTTCCTAGAACCAGCTGGGGTTGGCCATCCAGGTCTCCAGCCTTGCCTGCCAAACGGCATACAATGGCCTCGACCGTGGTTCCTTTCCCTGCAAGTGTAGTTTTTATGGCTGCGCCTGACCAGACCCTATGGGCCAAAACCTGACCATCAGACATTCATCTGCAAGCTCCCCTCCCAGGTCTTGTTCCAGTAGTGGGCCCCGGTTTTCCTAATCTGGGTGAGGTGACACAGCTCCAAAACGTCCAATCCATTTTCTTGGAATCACTCTTTGTCTGGCCCCTCCCCCGGGACCAGTTTGCTTTGGAGACCACAGCTCCCAGAATCACCAGGGCATGCACACCTGTCCACCACGTTAAGGTGACGATTCTCTGGACATTTTTCAGTCATGTTTGTCTCGGTGATGACAGTGGAATTTCTCAGATTTCCCCAAAGTTTTCAAATGCAATTCAAAATTACAGGAAGTTTTCTCTCGACAGCAGCGATGTGCATGCAGATCTTAGCGCACATATGCGTCCACTGTATATTTGTCCTATTTTGTCCAGGACTGTGAGGACACCTTCACTAACCGCATGGTGGACCGCAAAAGGTCGGCCTCTCAGACCACAAACATCCTCAGACTCACTGCCTAATAAACAAGTCTTCATCACTGCTCTGCTTTATAAATATGTCACTAGCAAAGCCCCATCCACATCAAGACAAAGTTTCAACTGGCTGCTCACACACTGTCGTGATTCTTTGCTCTTAGTGTTTGCTACTGTGCCAGAGGGAAATGTTTCCATGTGTTCTCATTAGAACAGTGTTTTTCAAAGATTGATTAATTACACCAGCAAAGCTGACATTAGAGTGTGGCACATTTAATTCATTTTCACTTGAAAGTGAGTCATTTGGAAAACTGCTAGTGTGTCTCATTTTAGTCTTGCTTGCCAGATTTGAACCTGATTTGTTTTTGTTTTGAAGGAATTCCTACATCAGTATTAGGTAAGTTACCTGATTTAAGTATTATCACTTTAACAGCTCCATGTCAGTTTATGGCAGGTATGGTGTTTTCATGAAGGAGAAAACAAGTATTGATCATCCTAATAATAGCTTTTCTTCCTTTAATCATAGAAAAATGACAAATATACCTATAAATGTTGGACTTGTTGAATGATTTGCTTCATCAGAGTCACTCACTGCCTCTTCCTTGTGTAGTATTTTGCCAGTTAATGTTATGAAGGTGTTACCAAAGGTTACAACAAGAAGAACAGAATGATCACTGAAATAAAGATGGGCAAAAGTCCAAACCTGGGTTTAATAAAAATTGCAAAAATTACCTTTTCAAATTGGTTGGGGAAGCAAATCCAAATAATTTGAATAGTTTCAAAGAGAATTCCCTCTCAGATGTTTTCCCCCATAGCCAATTAGGCCTTAAGTTACATTAAACAAACCCTAAAACTGTCATTGCAATAAACACTCAAGCCCAGGTTTGGAGAGCTTTGCCCATTTCTAGATTTTCTTGTTACATTAAGAAGAAAAATGAAGTTTTTTTTCTAGAGATGTGAATGTAAATATGTTTTTCCCTTAAAAGGGCCAACTGTACAGTATATGACAGACTATTTGTGTGTGTTTGTTTGGGGGATTTGGGAAAGGGGTGGTTCAGTATGGGAGCTACATGAGTTTTGAATTAGTAGCACAGGAATGTTAGCGTTCCTCTGTGTACTGTCTGGGATCGAGATGGTTTATTTTAGGTCCATCTCATATCTATCATGGGAGCTTGAAGCTGCAACAAAGAAAGACCTCCCTTGTTTTCAATCTCAGTAGCTGTAACACATGATATAATCTGCACCGATCTCATTTTACATTTTTTAAATGACACTTGACTTGTATGTATATGTTGTGATTTCGGATGAAGGATTTCTTCTCAGCAGTCAGTTTCTAGCTGGAACCTTTTCCAGGTTTCTTTGCACTGTGCTGTTACTCTTTGTCAGGTCTCTGTCACAGGTGATACCCAGCTCACACAAAAAGTCATTGGATGATTTCGCAATGGCCTATGCATGCTCCATGGACATTAATTAATACATCCAATGAGACGATATGTAAATATAAAAAGCTGGCATAGCAGTCTGTGTGATGGGCAAAAGGCTCGTCACATTCGTTGAAATGCCTTCTGGAGACTTTTTGCCAAAAATGATATGCCCTACCAGCAACTAACTGTAGGTGTGGTTTTTCTGAATTGTGTTTTTGTTACTAGGCCTAAGTTATATTAACTGCACTCATTAGAGAAACTGTTGTCTTTAGTAGTATCTTAGTCCTGTCTGACCCAGAGTGATTTTTCTTTGTATGCCCAGGGCATTCACACTGTTGTCACTAAGTCACTACCGCCCTCTTGTGGAGGAAACTAGACACTGCAACTTCTGGGTCATCTCAGCTGTATCTGACACAATGTTACCAGACTATACTGTGTCTCCTGTTACTACACCCTGGCATACTGTTCACATGTTTGTCCCACTCACCCGCATGTGTTTCTGAAGAGTGGGAACTGCTGTTTCTCTCTGTTTACACTGTAGTCAGAGGGTCACCGACAGGAGGATTATAGTATACATAATACTGTATATCTGTAAAAAGCAAAACTTGTTTGGTGACTACATTCTGCAAAAAGAGAAATAAAGGGAAAACAGGTGTGACATTATAAGACAGCCTGGATGTAAATAAAGAAGCGCTTGCCAAAGTTTGTAAATGCCATGATATCTGAAGCGTCTTTTTTCACTTTCATGACTGATCTCCATGTTTACATGCCTTCCTATGCACACATCCACTGATTACAGAAGGTTTACTTAGACCCCAGATTCCCTCTATGGGAACATGATGTGATTAAATTTTTTAGTATGTGTACTTTACTCGAGTATTTTCATTTTCTGCTACTTCATACTTTGACTTTCTAAATAGCAGAACAAAATACAGTATAAGCATATTAATCCCTGGCAGGAAGTTCACAAGCTACACATCAGTACTTCAAATTATAAGCATATGAGGTAGCATAATGCAGGGCCTCTATTTGTAACATAGTATTTTTACACTGTGGCATTGCTACTAAGAATCTGAGCACTTCTTCCACCACTGAAAATGTTACTCATTTGCTTCAAAGAAAACAGCTCAGTTAAATGTTAACATGTTATGTGTGGTGATTTTGGAAGAAACTGAAATGTGTATTATTTTTAAAATGTCAAAATAGTCCTTTGGTTTCAGTGAAGTGTAAAATCTGCTGTTACACAGTAGATAACATTTTTGGAAAGGTCACCTCAAAATGAACGAGTTGCATTTATTGATCTGTGAAGAGAACACAAAACTAATAAAAAAGGAAAACTACTTCATATGAAATATGACTTCACAAATAATACTGTATGTACTGCTTGATGACTTAAGGCTTTCTTTTTCATATCACTTTCGGTGCCCGAGATGTGTTACTCACTGCTAATCAGGTATATCTGGCCAGCTTCTTGTGTTAAAACTACTACTTCCAAAGCTTTTCTTACCCTTTCACGTGAGTATATATATCTAATAGTAATAGTTAATACTCATCTATACGCATAAAAATCATCATTAATGTTAACCAGCCACATCCTGTATGATTTCCATTTGTTAACTCAAACCTTATTTTTATTTACTTTAATAAATGCTGAAATATTTTCCAAAACATTTCATATTAAGTATCTACATCTATCCACATGTAATCACAAGTTCAGTCTAAGTATACTCCATATTTATGGACAAAAGATGAAACTGATTTGTTTAAAAACAGATAATGTGCCTTTATGAAACAAGGATACTACTCTCAAACATTCAAGTGTGTTGCTCAAATGTCCCATCTGATATTTTTGCTATATTTTAACCACAGCAGACACAGGAGAGGCAGGACAAAGAACACATGGCACTGTGCAGTTGAAGGAGAACTCAAATTTTGGAAACACACCTGGGGTACTATTCAGACTGGCCCAGGACAGGCAGGACTGCTGATCCTTCACTGCTGTCCTAGATGCCAGAGGACATATAGGACAGTAAAAAAGTACTGTAAGTAAGACCCTCAAATGAAGGTTGTTCGGATTTCCAGTTTCTGCTGGTAGCGTAAAGGCTGCACTATCTAATTATTGTGCACTCTACATTACCCTTCTTTAATAGAACACCCTCATACTCTGCACTGGCAGCATGTTCATTTTGCACTTTGGTAGGTTAAATTTCCTGAATTAGTGAGGTGTCCGTCCAAGGTGGCAGATAGGTATTTTATTGTTCGCTGTCCTCACCATAAAGAAGCAGGCAGAGGTGTTTGCATCAGTGCTGCAGCAGCGACTGTAGCCATGCTCCTGCCTCAGACAAAGCTCCTTTCACTCCGCTGCTCTACTTGTCTCCTGACAGGCCTCACATGGAGAGGTTTTGTGGGTGGGGGAGGTAAGTGGGCTTCAGTGCAATAATCTCACCCCTTCAGAGAAGGGGAGGAGGAGAGGGCTGTGTGAAGGAAGCCATTCAGCTTGATCAAAAGTCTTGCTGTGAAGGTTAACCACCCACACCACTCCACAGCAGACCTTGGCTGGCTAGATGCGACCCTCCCTCTGGGCACTCGGTTTACTTCTCTCTACAAAGACATATGTGTAAAGACGACTTGCCAAATCCCAGAGAGGCCTGGGCAAGGGTGGAGAATGAGCAGATGGGGTGGGGCAGGCGGCTTCGGAACAAACCATTCACTGCCT